AATGTCCCATGAGTCACAAGGTGACATCATTCCATTGTGAAACTCCCCGCCCTGGGGGAGGTACTGAGCATTCCCTGCTGAACCTGAGCATATAAAGCCTTTGGSCCTGGGGACTTCTGGCACTACTCAACAGATCTGGAGGAGGAGCAGAACTCCAACAGGACTGTGACCACTGCTTTCCACCAGACTGTGACCATCACTTTGGCAAGACTGTGACCACCACTCTGACCATCAGGTTTTGTTTTCCTTCCTTTTGCTTTGCATGCTGGGGGACCATATGCTGCTCCGAACAGGGAATAATGAACACTGTTCTGTTCCTCTCCCAGGGCGCCTGGATACACTCTGTGGGTTAATCAGTATCACTGTATTTCTTGTAATCTCTTTGGTGAATTGTAACCCCCACCTCAATCTCTCTTGGGCAGTTCGGTGGGGCTCATTTCTCCTGACAGTTAAAACCAGAACAGTGTTTTAGAGGTATTACAGTCATGATACACCTGGTGACTTCTAGAAACAGGCTTGGACAGGAGCAGCCCCCAAACCAACCTGCTCACACCTTGTTTTCCCCCTAAACAAGGATTTCCCATTCCCAAACCTTGGCCGGATAAAGAAGGAGGAGGCTGTGACGAAGAGGAAGATGTTCCAGTACCCCCAGGCAGGTGAGGAGGAACTCACTGCCCTTTACCCCTCTCTTCTCCTCCAAGAGCAGCATGATCCCTGGCTGCAGGACAACCCCGCTGCTGACACCGTCCGGCTGGGGATGGATTGGAGCGGATTTCCTTCCTCTTCTATCTGGCATGGAGGCGAATCCCATCCTCTCCTTGTACTTCCTGCCCCAGACAGTGAGCGGAGGATGGAGAGCAGGGAGAACACATACCCCCTGCTGAACCTCTTGGAGGAGGCTGTTTTCAGTGTCTCCACAGCACAGGAATCCAACGAGGAGGAAAAGTCCGAGAGATCCCACACGACGATGAGCAGCATGCCAAACCCAGGGTTCTCTAAGGGGGAAAGACCCACCCTGCASCAGGAAGGCACCCAGAGCTTCAGCTGGGACTTGGAGCTGGGAGTGCTTGAGGAGCTTCATGGCAGGGAGAAGCCCTACAAGTGCTTGGAGTGTGGGAAGAGCTTCAGCCGGCGCT